ATTTTAGACAATTTTAATTTTTTTATATTTATTTTTATGCAATTCTGAGAAGTTTTATTCAGTATTTCCAGGTATTTATAATGAATTCATGTAAAAATCGGTTAATTAATTTTCATAAAATAAAATTTCTGAAAAAGTTGCCATTCTGAAAAAATATTGCATAACTCAAAAACAAAACAAAATTTCATTCATTAATTTAAAAAAATTTTGGTTTGAGACACTACGAACACGGCTATAAATTTCATCAGATGAAATTTCTGAAAATTTTTGAGTTCTATTTAAGATTTTCGCCAAAATTTTCCGGTTTACATTTGAAATTAAAAAGAAAGGTTTGAGATTAGTCTACAAATTTTAAAAATTTCTTCGAATGTTTTGTATTTCCTTTATTTCTAATTCAAAAGCGTACAAAAAAATTATTTTGTTATTCTCAGAAGGTTTTCCAAATGAAAACAGAATTCGACTTCTTTCAGAAGTTTTTTGGAACTTTTCAGAATTCTTTTATTCACTTTGCATATTATTTCCAGAAGTAGAAACGAAATTTTCTCATTTTCACTGAATTTCGACAAAAGTTTCATATCAAAAATGGAAATAAAAAAAAAAAACAAAAATATGTGTCGCAAGAAACATTTATAACATCTTAAAAATGAAGGTTTGCAAAGTAGATTTGTATTCCATCTTCTTTTTTGCTTTGTTGAATTCTAAAAACACCGTTTTTTTTTATATTTTTTTTCAAAAATCTTTAATATTGTAATGGGAAATTTGAATTTTGCACGTTAATAAGCAAAGTTTTGCCCTATCCTTTGACATAATTTCATGGTTTTTTTTTCATACAAAAATGATCAAACGTAATTTCTATTGATATAAAATAAAAAATAAAAATAAATGTAACCTTTTCTTTGTTTAATTAACACAGGTGTTCTGTTTTAAATGAAACTAAAATTTCGCTAATATGGTGTTACCTCTTTGTTTTACATTGCATTCCATTGAATCAATTGCACGTGCATGAATAGCTTTGAACAAAAACGAAAATGAGATTATTCTGTTACGTGTGAAAATAAGGTAGGTCAGTGTTGAAAATCTGCATACAATTGGATCATGAAACAAAAAAACCGCATATTTAAATTAAATCGGAATTCCTTGAAATAATTAATAGAAAAATCGAAATTTTTGACTCATTTTCCTGCAATTTTTATCATAAAGATTACAAATTTTTCTAACAAGAAAAGAATGTTAATAACTCATTTAATCGATACACCTGCCTTCACCAGAAACCCAATTAATTAAAACAAACCTGACGCCGTGAACACACTTAGGTAACCCTTGACGAATAGCTCCACTCTCCCTTACCTGTAAGAAAAAAAATTGTTAGAATAATTAGCACACCACCTGCCTAATCGCATAAAAAATTACACGCATTTTCAATTTGCAAGAGTGAAGGTACCATCATAAAACATGCATTTTTTGATTATAGTAAAAATAAATATCAACAAATTACAAATTGTCTAAAATATAAAAAAAACTGTTAAAAATCTTAAATTTTTTGTGAAAATAAATGTAAATCCAATTCAATCTTCGAATTTTTTGAGAAGCATTTAAATAATTATAATTTTTGAAAATGTGACTGTGTTTTGAGAATTTATAAGAAGAAGAATTTGAGAAGTTATAAAAAATGTTACTTGAGAAATACTATTGAGTAAAGATTTCGTTTATTTTGACAAAATTCTGTGTCATTTTGAATTTCCAAGTGGTGAAAAAAATACTACAGCTCGTAAAAATTACGGATTATTTTAAATCGTTTTCGAAGTTCCTGAAAATAGTGTATTTAGATATAATTTTTGTTTTTTCAAAAAAAAGATGAACGAATCGATTTTATTCTTACAGAAGTGCGAAGAACGTCATTTGGTCGACTATAAAATTTTCAATTTTCTCAATCGAATATTCAAAAAAGCCCACAAAATATTAACAAAACTTAATTATTTAAAAAAACACACTTATGACTAAGTCAGTGAGAATTATTTTAAAAATGAGAATCCCAAAAAGGCCCAAAAAACTTCTGGAAGAAGCCTAATTGTGTTTTCATTCATAAATTCTCAAGCATTTAAGAAAATAAATAAATAAATAGAATTTTAACATGCACATTTTTATATGCTTTTGTATTAGAATTAAAGAAAATACAACTCATTGTAAGAAATTTTTAAAATTTTCAGACAGTCTTTTTAATTTTAAAAATTACTCAAATATTTTTATGCACTGGGAAATATTGGCGAAAATCTTCAGTGGACTCAAAAATCATCAAAATTTTCAGAAATTTCATCTCATGAAATTTACAGCAGTGTTCGTAGTTCTCAAAATAAAAAAAAATCAACCGATTTTTACACCAGAACTAGACGAATTCATTATAAATACCTGGAAAAAATAAAACTTCCCAGTGTTGCATAAAAATAAATATCAACAAATTACAAATTGTCTAAAATTTATTGAAAAAACTATTAAAAATTAAATGTAAATCCAATTCAACCTTCGGATTTTTTGAGGAAAATGCAATCATTATTATTATTTTTGCTTTCAGGAAATCATAATTAATAAAAATGAAATGCTATAAATAATGGAGAATGAAGTTTAGTTTTCTTTTTAAGTTAT